GCCAGGAAGACAGGACCAGCGGGCCTCGGGCCAGCAGCATCTGCACTTTATGCGCGCGCGCGGCCGACACTACAAAACCGAGGAAACAAGGGCAAGAGCAAGTCCAGGGGCGGGGCCGCGGTCACGCGGAGAGGTCACTGTTATCAAAACGCTCCTGGTCGTACACTTCAGCCACCACCTTGCGGCCGGCGAACCAGCGCCCATTGAGGGCCTGGATGGCCTTGTGAGTCTCGGAGGCCATGGAGAACTCCACGAAGATCTTGACGATGATCTCGGCATCCTCCTCCTCGCCCTGCTTCTCCTGGTAGATGATGACGCAGTTGACGGCCCCGAACTTGCCGCACTCCTCGGTCACCTCCCCCTCCAGGTCGTCATTGATGTCCTTGGGGTCCACCATGTTGCGCAGAACCATCACTGTGGACTCCTGCTTGCGGAGCAGCTTCTGCATGACCATGTGGCGGGCGCTGCTGCCAGAGATGCTCATGTGCTCCTGCTCACTCAGCATCTCCGGCCGCTCGGACTCGGGGAACAGCTCCTCCTCCTCCTTCTCCTTCTTGGGCTCCAGGAGGCCCAGCGTCGGAGGGCTGGCCAGGATGGGGTTCACCACGCCCACAGAGGGGATGGTGACCGGGATGGGAGGCCGGGCTGGGGTCACACCTGCAGCAAACACACCAGGTCCAGCAGTCACTCCCCACCCCACCCCCCTTCCCAGGAAGGAGCACAGCGCCCGCCCCACGCTGGCCTGCCTGGAGCTTGCAGGCAGCTGGGGGCAGTGAGCCCAGAGGAGAGGGGCAGGGGGAGGGGGGAAGCCTTGACCCAGCAGGCTCACCTGTGATGACTCCTGGGGCCTGGGCAGCCATGACAGCCTGAGGTAAAGCTCCCAAGGGCTGGGCCAGAGTCAGTGCAGGGGACACCAGTCCAGGGGTGGCCAGAGTACCCAACACCGCTGCTCCGGCCACTGCTTCCTGCAACCGAAAAGGCCACCACACTGAGTCCCAAGTCTGGCTGCCTCCACTCTATACCACCCGGAGAGCCAGTCAGTCCCCAAAGCACTGGGGGCCTATTGCCCAGGATTGAACCCACACAACTGTACTAGCCCTCACCTGAGCCGTAATCTTGGCTGTGGCTGCAGCTGCAGCCACAGCAGCAGCTGGCGGGAGGCCTCCAGGTGTGGCAGGTGTAAGCAGGGGCATAGGGGGTGTGACAGCCTTGCCCACCCGCAAATACTGGCCACCCAGGTCAAAGAGGTTCATGGAAGACACGGCATCTTGAGACGACTGGGCCTTCTCATACTCTGCAGGGCAGGAGCAGCAATGAGGGCCAGCCACAGAGTGGAGTGGGCCCAGCCCCGGCCCTGCCTCAGCCCCCCAAGCTCACCAATGAAGCCATAGCCCTTGTGCTTGCCGGTCGTGGGGTCCCGGGCCAGCGTGCAAGACTTGATCTTGCCAAAGGCCTCAAACACGCTCTTGATGTCATCATCGGAGAGGTCCTGATGCACAGAAGCCACATAGATTCGGTTGAAGGCACGTGCCTCTTCCGCCAGCTGCTCTATGATGGGCTGGGCCTGCCCTATGTTGCTGGGCCTGCCCACCTGGGGGAGAGGCAGGGGACCAAGAGCCGCCAATCAGCCAAGGCTTGGCCACTTCAGGCCTCCGGAGGGCGACTGCATCTCCTGGGTGACTGGACAGAACATCTCGCATCAGCCCCAGGGCCCGCCTACCTGGCACTCACCTTGATGTTCCTGCCACCCAGCATCACTGAGTTCATCTGCTCCAAGGCCAGCTGCGCAGCCTCTGGGACCTCATACTCCACAAAGGCAAAACCCTGGACACAGGATGTCCCATTAGGCCTGGAAAG